TTTTTTTTTTTGGTTGTTGATTATACGTTTTGAGTTGGACTTTAATGCCATCCACATATGGGAAGAGGCAGTCTCTTTTCTTGAAAGCAAAATACTGTAAATAGTGCAATCTCAATCCATATGGGACCATTCTTGAATGTATTATCTCCCATCTAATCGCAGATAACAGGGAGAAGGGGGACCGAGTACATGACACTCATAAAACTTGTCCTCCCAATTCACTTTAAACAAGGTAGATTGAGAAAAAAAAAAAATTGATTATCATTGCTTGATTACGTTGGATTTTCCAAATAAATGTCTGTTCCTTTTAAGGTAGATTAATTGTCAAGTTAACGTGACAGGTAATTACACTGATCATCTCTAAGTATATCACGAGAGAAATTATAAGATTTACCTTGATATTCAGGCAATATAATGGTGGGAACAAACTCATTTAAAATCATTTACTTGCAACCAAAAATATATATTTATCAAGGGACTCTTTGAACATGATCATGTTGTTCTTTTAATAGATATTATTTTAATGAAAAATGTGTGATTGAAAATGAGTACTGTAGTTGTCTTGATGAGGTAAAAATTACAATTTAGATAAGCATGGATAAATCATAAAGAAATTAGAAAAATACTTGATAGAGAATTGATTATTGTACAATCAACTCATCTCTTTTTGAAATAACATAAATAACTCATGAAATTAATTTTTTACAATAGATTCTCATTGTACAGTTTACTCGGAGATATTCAAAGAAAAAATAAATAATTTTTTTTTTAAATCTCTAAAATTTGTCTCATGTAATAAATTAGTATCTCATATAATAAATAATTTTTTTTTTTTTCAATTTGGAAATAAGAACTAATAAATTGTGTTATCTTATGGGTGGATTGTTTTGTATTGAGAGGCAGACATATGACGTGGGAGTAGGGACAGATGTCCCAATGCCCTTTTTCTTGTGACTGCCTAACATACTAAACATTTTCTATTTTCATTTTATACTATATTTTGTTTGATTAATTTGGTAAACCTTGTAAATAACTAATTATTATTACAGTTTTGATGAGAAAATGTATTCAAAATATAATATAAAATATCTGTCCTAAACACTTAAAGACCACATAACTACACTTATAAATGGACAAAAATAGAAAACTATAATAAAAAAATAAAATAAAGAAATCTCTTTCTACTTTTTGTAAACTTAAGAAAAGCATTTTTCAGCACATTCGACTAGCTTAGAAGTTCTTAAGAAAAACTAGAAAAATATAAGTTTACTAGTAATATTAAAAAATAATAATAATAAGAAGAAGAAGAAGAAGCTTAAAATTAATTTTTAGTTTAGGCCCTGTTTGGGAGGGATTTTGAGAAATGATTTTTTGACCGTTAGAAGAAAAATGGTGTCCACCTGTGAAAGAAGAAGTCAAAAATTACGACTGAAATAGTGAAATAACGGTCAAAAAATCAATTTTTTGGAGTAAAAAATCCCTCCCAAACAGGCCGTAAATAGGCAAAGCTTAAATTATTCAATTGAAAAAAAAAAATCACAAGTTTTAAAGATTGTTGTAAAATGACAACAACTCGCATTGCAACGTGGATACCTAAAACAAAATCAACCCAACTAATATAAATTAATAATAAATTATTGGAATTAAATAATTAACCGACTGTACTACAAAAAAGTATAAATAAAGAGTAGAAAACAAAATATGGTAGATAATCGTCATAAAAATTTTAAATTATAAACATAACAAATATTTGACATCAAGTGCGTATCAAATACTCGATTAAGTAAAAATGTTTAACGCATAATGCAATAAAAAATTAAATATAAAATGTAAAATAATAGACTGCTTTTAGGGAAATCCTTTAAATAATAGCCCATAATTTATCTTCTCCCGTACACTTAGAACTCTTCAAGAGAAAGTCCGAGACTCTGATTCCCCAAATCCAATTCGGTCATTTCAACTTCGCCGTACACCTGTATCTCTCTCCTTTTCTTTTTACTTTTCTGCAAATTGAAATTCTCAGGTTTGATTTCCTAAATTTTCATTGGTCATCTGATTTCCTCCCCCTGTTTCTGGAAACATCAATTGCAGAAAGCAAAAAAAAAAAATAAAAACAAGTGAGTTTTCGTAGGATTATATGTTGGTCTTTATCCCTTTTCGATTGTGATCAACAAAACCCCTGTTTGATTATTGGGTTCAATATTTGATAGCTCTGTTTGTTTTCCTTTTAAATTCCAGCCCTGCTAGTGAATTTATCCTTATCGTCGTATCGAGCAAATTTTGCTCGATTAATTAATGCGGGACAGAGAGAAATTAGAGAGGGGCGACGTATTAGCGGTCTCTGGATCAAATTATGCCAGAGATCATCGATGAAGAAGGTAATTTACTACCACCAGCAGCCATTAGGGAAGCCGCCGGCGCTTCTGGTGGCAGCGGAGGTGCGGAGGGGGACAGCGTCAACCTGTTCAAGAAATATGAGCTAGGGCGGCTTCTGGGATGCGGAGCCTTCGCGAAGGTCTATCATGCGCGGGACTTGCGCACGGGCCAGAGCGTGGCGATCAAGGTCGTGAACAAGCAGCGGATCCTCAAGGGAAATCTCACGGCGAATATCAAGAGGGAGATCTCTATCATGCGCTGGCTACGCCACCCGCACATCGTCCGCCTCCACGAGGTTTTGGCGACCAAGACACGGATCTACTTCGTCATGGAGTTTGCCAAGGGTGGCGAGTTATTCGCGAAAGTCGTGAAAGGTCGATTCAGCGAGGACCTCAGCCGCAAATATTTCCAACAATTGATCTCTGCAATAGGTTATTGCCATTCACGCGGAGTTTTCCACCGTGATCTGAAACCGGAAAATCTGTTGCTGGACGAGAACTGGGAACTCAAGGTCACGGATTTCGGGCTCAGTGCCTTGACGGATCAGATCCGACCCGACGGCCTCCTACACACCCTTTGTGGAACCCCAGCCTACGTGGCGCCGGAAATCCTCGCAAAAAGGGGTTACGATGGAGCCAAGGTTGATGTATGGTCGTGCGGGGTTATACTGTACGTGCTAAGTGCGGGTTATTTGCCGTTCAACGACCCGAATTTGATGGTGATGTACAGGAAAATCTACAAAGGGGAATTCCGGTGTCCCAAATGGATCTCACCGGATTTAAAACTGTTCTTGACCCGAATCCTCGACCCGAATCCGATTACCCGGATTTCAGTTAATGAAATCTTGAACGACCCCTGGTTCAAGAAGGGGTACAAGGAAATCAAATACCCAGCTGATAATGAGTTCGAGTTCAAGGATTCTGGTGGGGACATGGAGGGGAATATGTTCTTGAATGCATTCGATATTATTTCGTATTCCTCCGGTGTTGATCTGTCCGGGTTGTTCGATAACAGTCGTAATCGTGTTACTAGCGAAATGTTCGTATCAGCCGAATCACCGGAGAGAATCATTGAGAGAATCGAGGTGGTGGCTAAAGAGGAAGGCATGAAGGTGGTGAAGAAGGGACAGGGTATTAGGCTGGAGGGAAATTTCACCATTATGGTGGAGATCAACCGATTAACGGAGGAGCTGATGGTGGTGGAGGTGAAAAGAGGTGGACTTGGACATGATATATGGAATGAGAAATTGAAGCCAAAGCTGAATGATTTGATTTACCAGTCCGAGGGGCAGGCAGCCGGCCTAGCCTAAAAATCAATAGAAAATTTACCGGAAAAATTGTAAATGGGCCAATGTTGTTTTCTGTACTGTAATATTAAGCTAATGTTTTCCTGTCTCTGTTAACAAAGACTTGCTTGCTTGGTGTGGGGTTCAAAGAAACAGTCAACAAAAGTTGAGGGCCGAAGTACTTTCTCCCACTTGAGAGAAAGATTATTGGTTTTCTGTGTATGTTCCACTCTCAGTATATTTTTATTGCTTGATTTTTTTTTGCTTTATGTGTGTTTTAGGATGAATTTCCTATTCTATGATATTTTTGGGTAATTTGATTGCTAGGGACGGTTTGCCAACACGTGATATGAGAAATGTGAAGCGAGAAGAAATTTGTTAGTTGTATGTTTGAGATTTGATTTTTGGCACGTTGAAGTTGACAGCATCGACAAATGCAACAAATTTGTTGAATTTTAGTTTTTGTCACGTTGAACACCTTAAGGATGAATTTTAGTCCTAAATATTCATCTATGAAAACATAATTTGCTGATGCAAATTCAATGAACTTGAGGGACATCTGGTGATATTAAAAAGTTACGGGGAATCAAAATAAAATTATAATCTTATGAGGTTGTGTTGTACCCGCTATCTTTGCGAATTAGTTGTCATAATTCATAGCCGCATGCATAATTCAGTAGTACAAATGATAGAAGTGAGATAGTTTCAACTTTAGTGACAGGCGTAGTGTGAATGTTCAACGAGCCGAGCTCGGGCTCAGCTCTTTGAAATTGGTCGGCTCGCCAATGTTTTTTTTAAATAAAGAATAGAGTTTTAAAAATAAAAAGTGTTAAAAAATACAAATAATTTAATGAAAACAAGTTTTTATTTTTATTTATATCATATTGTAATTTGTAATACTTTTTATAAAGTATAAAATATTTGTATAATGAAAACGAATTATTTTTTGAAATACATTTACAAAAAATATATTTTTTTGGAGTTAATAAAATGTAAACCCTCCTCCTTTATCCGAGTTTGGGATCAATTACATCAATTTTAAGTAGGCGAAGTTAAAAATTGTACACAAACAACTTGTCGTAACATGTACAATTTTTTAAAGAAAATAAAATTTAAAGATTAAAAAATAAAAAAAATAGATTAATATAATTAAATCAAATATCACTTACCTGACGACATGCAATTTCAGCGTATTTATCTTATAGTTGAAAATTAGCGTCCTGTCAATCCTTCACACATTAACGCTTCCCAAACATCTTCTTTCAGTCGGCTCCTGATATCAGTCAAAACCCTTTTACCTGCACTAAAAGCAGACTCTGAAGCAACAGTGCTAACCGGAGATATCAATAGATCTTTCGCAATTGTAGAAACAATTGGCCAACGTCTTTCATACTTTCGCTCGAATTCAATTACTTTTTCTCAAATTTTTTTAATTGTTTTGTCTGTTAGCATATTATGATTGAAATAATCAATTAATTCGGCAAGCATCGCATTTTGAGTTTCGGCCGATATTTGATGAGATGCAGATGTAGACATGGCACTAGATGAACACATTGCTGTTGCATCATATCTAAATGTATTAATGCCCTGAAATAAATTCATTATTTTCGCAGCATCTTCTTCAGTTTCAACAGAAAGAGTAGATGCAGCAGAGGGTACTCGACTAATATTTGCACCCATTCTTTCCACATATAAATCATACATTCCACATAATGTTTGCTCTAAATTCTTATAGGTGATAGGTGTATCAAGTATTAAAACTTTATTGATTTGATCAATTACGTATTTATTTCCCGAAATATTATATAGGGGGTCCATTGGGCATGCTAAAGGAAATAATATAGGCAATTCTTCCCAATATTTTCTAAACTTTAATTCCATAGCAATTAAAATTTCACTAAAAGTATGATTATTTTTATATTTATGGAATGTTCTTACAATTATATAACGACGTTCAAGCACCATACAGCTTGTGGGATAATAAACGTTGGATAAAATCTTTATGATCTCATAAAAAGATATCAAAAATCGTTTAACTTTCAAAGCTAAAACCCAATCGGATTCATTTAACATACCATCATTATCACTTTTAACATGTCTATTATTATAAAAGTCAGTTATTAAATTTTGAAAATTTTCACATGATTTTAATAGCAAGTATGTAGAGTTCCATCTATGACCTACATCGCTAACAAATGTTTTAGCAGTCATCACCCCTAGTTCGACACAAAAATCTTCAAATACTTGTTTTCTACTAGGAGAGATCGTAATATATACTAATGCATTCCTAATCTTTTGAAGTTCATCCTTTGTATGTTTTAAACCATCTTGCACAATTAAATTCAAGATATGACACACACAACGAATATGAAACAAATATCCACCAAAATTAGGTTGAAGTGTCCTACACAATTTATCAACGATTACCTTATTAGTACTAGCATTATAAAAAATAAAAGATCGAATTTTACTCTCATAATGATATTCTCTGACAATACTGATAATATCATTATATATATTATTAGCATTCTAAGGAAATTCAATAATTCTAAAAACAATAATTTTCTTATGCATGCACCAAAGTGGGTCTATATAGTGTGCGGTTGCAGTTATATATGCTCTTTTATTAACCCCTTCCCATATATCAGAAATTAAGGACATAACACCCCCATATTGTTGCAAATTCATAATTAATTGTTGTTTTGAATTATTGAAATAATTTATTGTATCGGCACGAAGAGTGTTTCAATTTACCCCAACGTACCTCGGTTGTAGATATTCTTTCACGAACGAGACGAAGTGTTGGTTGTCTGCAATAGCCAGAGGCAACTCAGTGGCGGCAACAAATTTCGCCATTCCGGTTCGAGTCTCGTCCTCCGAATACACCCATGTGGATAGGGGTGAAGTTGTAAAATCGGTGCCCGGACTGCCAAATTATAATTGTGTTTGACCAGCTGGAAAAAGTCCATGTCTGACTGCACATGATTTGTAGTGGCGGTTGAGATGAGTGGTACCAATTCCTTTTTGCCATGTCAATCTTTGTTGGCAGTATTTACATACTACTTTAAATTCTGCAAGGCCATCAACGATTTTTCCCGTTGAAATCAACTTAAAGTGATCTCAACATATTGCTTATTTTTTTGCCTTTAGCTTCCCCTCGCATCTGGGATATATAATTGCTGATTTTCATCTTCTTGTTCCGCTTCGGGAACGTTAATATCATTCAAATTAATTGGAGTATGGTTTCCCTGACCTTGAATATGAACATCTTCAAGTATCAGTATGACATTTAGACCGGCAAATTCATTTGAAAATTGACTTTGCGGCGTTCTAGGCGATTCTCCATGATGTGGCAATGTCTCACATCCTGTATCGAACAAGCTCTCAACAAATGAACGTTGATCCATTTCTGTGATTGTTTATGATGAAATCTTGACTAGATGAATATAAATGTAGTGAGATTATGAGAATTGAGAATTGGATGAATTGAAATTGTAACTAAAAACTGTAAAAATTGAATTGATATCGTATATTTTGCAGCACAAGAGAGTAAAAACTCGATAATTGATATAATAAAAAAGAGTTGAGAGGATTGTAATTTTGGAAGAGCAATTGATATGAAAAAAAAATATTTGGGGGAAGAGGGTATTTATAGTAAAAAAAGGAGGGGAAAATAAAATAAAATAAAAGTTCAGTGTGACCGTTTTGGTAACAGGCTCAACGAGCCACGATCCGGCTCGTGGCTCGTCTCGGCTCGCCTCCGGGCGAGGCCCACTCAGCTCGTGCTTGGGCTCGTGATTTCACGAGCCCGAGCCCGAGCCGAGCGGCCCTCGCCTGGAGGCAAGTCGAGCCCCCAATTGACATCCCTAGGCAAGCTCTTGTTTTCTGGTATATTGGAGCACATTTCGCGATTTACCTCCCTCATGATGCTCTAGGGACGGAGCGGTGGAGGCTCTGAAGAACGGGGTTCTACCTTTCTCAACCTATTTAATTGTCATAATTCATAATTAGCTAACGAGGAAGAATTGCAAGAATCTGGTCTCACTTATTATGACTGATTGTTAGGTACAGAAGTTAGGTCATATTCCGATAAAGATGTAGATGTCTTGACAAAGGACAGGATTCATCACTTGTGGTTATAACCTAATTGTTTAATGGACACGACTTATACAATAAATGGTTTAGATGGACCAACACTATTTACTTAGGTTACGTTGTAACTTTATAAAAATAATCTACGTTAGCATTTGTAATCCATTAAAGACTTCATTTGGTATTATTATTATTATTATTACTATTATTATTATTATTATTATTATTATTATTATTATTATTCTTTTAAGAAAATCAATTTTTACTGTGCTGTAAAAAGAATAGATGGCAAGAAGAATCAATTAAATGTTTGATGAAGTTAGGCTTCAATATTGTTGTATGTCTGAAAATCAACATTTTACCGTTTGGTAAATAATGTAATACATTGATATACAATTACTATATTGAACATTGATTATAATGATATCGTTTTGTACTGTTGTTATTATTATTGTTGTTGTTGCTGCTTTAAAATTTACTTTTTTATAAAGTTATGTAATAGTGTCATAGTGCATATATTAAGAATTAATCGAAAGTAAAAATTACTTTCTATTAAATCGCAAAATTTATAAAAATACAAAACAGAAGGTATAATGCATATAATAAAAAAAATTACTTGAATTAATTGAAGTCAAATCGATATTTTAATTTTAGATAATTGAAGAGTTAAAAGAAAATTTTGAAAAGTTACCTTTACTGCTTATTATCATAATTTGTTGCTGAGAGTTCAGGTTCTTCTAAAATCCTTTTTTTTTTTTTTTTTTAATTATCGAACACGTATTACAACCTCTAATTGTTTGACAATTTAAAGTTAAACTTTGAAGTCAATCTCAAACGGGACATAATACGGCGGTCACAATCAAGAAAAGCTTGTTAATTGGAAAATACAGCTTCTGGATAGTTTGGACGGTTGAAAATTCAAAATTGATTACAACTTAGTGGTCGGTTCAATAAAATAAACAATAGAGTTCTAGAAGTTTCGAGTGAAAATGAAGCCGTGAGAGCGACGCGTCAATCCTGCCGACCACAATGCTAGTCAACAAATTTAAATGCCCATTTGCAGATTATATTGAAAAATAATTTTAATTTCTTATTTTCAATATTAATAGCAGTGTTATTTTAATATATCTTCACTAGGGCTGAGCTTGGTCTTTTGCATTATTATTATTATTAGCTATTTTCTATTAAAAGTAAAACTTTATCAACAAATTTCATATTCCAATGATTGCTCCTCTCATTTTTCCGTGTGGTTTAGAGGGATATGTCCCTCCTTGTTCCCATTGTCATTGATGCTTATTTTTTCAATGATACCTTCGTTATCAGGATCAACATAAGAGTCCAACTCCGTTGCATTGCTAAAGAATCCATGTTGTATATTTGAAAGAAGTTGTGCTAGAAACCAGATTTGAACGGATGAAATGAGAATTTTTTGTCATCTACTCTATCAGCTTAGTTATCCTGACAATTTCCAATGTAGTATCCCGTCTTCATTTTATTAGATGACCAGTCTATGTGTCGATTAAAAGGACAAGAGGGGTTATAATTTTTTCTCCAAGTTGTGGAATTCTTAAAGAGTTCAAAATATATAAAAATGAGAACTCCTAGGACGTCTGTAGCATCACAAAAGAATGTTGATGGCCTACATCGTTTAAAATGGTTGAAACGAAAAGAGTTGAATTTTAAAGGTCATTTCATTTATACATGCACACAAACTTAATGATAAAATAAATATCTATGAATACCCATTTTTGGCATCTATATAATATTTCATTATATAAAAGAATTCAAGCGTGAAGATTAGAGAAGGAGAAAAAGGATATATGAACTTGAGAATTCTCCATTTGAAATTATAAGAATCAAATGAACTGATTATTCTTAAAAGGAGTAGCCTATATATATTCTACCAATACAGCCTATGACCCACTACAAAAGGAATATACACCTCTCTGTACATAACAAACTCAACCAATAGGAAAGCTACACGATACAAAACAGCTCAACAAAGAGCAACATAAAAAAAAAAAAAAAAAAACAAGTAACATATAGTCATGAATTATGACTCTGTGTTTGTGGGTTGAAGAAAGTAAACGTCAACTTCTTTAGAAGATTGCAACTTCTAAGCATGACAGTGTTAAAGTAGAAAGGTTTATTCTTTAATTTTTTTTAATATTTTATTTTTAAATACCAAATGAGTTACAGACTCGTGGGTTTGGCTTACAAAATAAAAAGAATAATATTTTGGTTGGAATGTAAAAACATATGATTGTAGTGATTATAAAACATGGTATTCCACAAAATCATCTGATTTTAATTTGAGTGTATTTTTTTTTTGGTTTAGTATGCATTATTTTATTTATTTAATGGTTTTAAGATAACTAATATAATATTAATTTTTTTAGAACCTTAGAATTAAAATTTAAAGGTGTGACTGTTTCTAATTAAAAGTTCAGCGACCTGATTGCAAGTACAAGATCGAGAATAGAGATTTACTATTCCCATCTTGGAAAGGAGGTTGGTAAGAACAGAAGAAGATAGGGCCTTAGTGAAAATGTCGGCCAGTTGTGAATGAGTTGGTACATGAGCTGTGATGATACTGTCTTCTTGAAATTTAATCTCTAATGAGATGACAATCAACTTCTATATGCTTAGTACGTTTATGGAACACTAGATTGGCAGCAATATGCAAAGCCGCTTGATTGTTGCAGTGAAGAATTGCAGCAGACAGATGGGAAATGTGTAGATCTTTCAGCAATTGTTTAATCCAAGTAAACTTAGAAGCAATTGCTGCCATTACCCGATACTTTGCTTCTGCAGAGGAGCGAGAAACAATTGATTGTTTCTTGGACTTCCAAGATATAAGAGAGTTGCCTAAGAAAATGTAGAAGCCAGTGATAGAGCGTCGAGTATCTGGACATGAAGCCCAATCAGAGTCACAATAGCCTTGTAATTGCAAAGGAGATGAAGAGGAAAGCAAAATACCTTGACCAGGACTACCATTTAAATATTTCAGAACCTTGCGAGCAGCTTGTAGATGAAGATTAGTTGGCCGAGACATGAACTGACTGAGTACTTGCACTGAATAATTGATGTCAGGTCTTGTAATAGTTAAATACAATAACCTGCCAACAAGTCTCCTATAAATGCTTGGATCAAAAAGAGGACACCCTGATTCCTTGCTAAGCTTGATATTTTGGTCCATGGGGAGTTTAGCTGGCTTGGAACCAAGAGTACTCGAATGTGCTATTATGTCAAGTGTATACTTTCGCTGACATAAATGAATCCCTTGTACGGATCTTGCCACTTCAATGCCGAGGAAATAATGAAGGGTACCAAGATCTTTAATATTAAATTCAGTATTCAAGAACCCTTTGAGAGAATTAATACGATCAATGGAATTACTAGCAACAACAATATCATCCATATAAACCAATAAAGTTGTAAAGGAATCTCCTTTAATCATAGTGAATAAGCTGTAATCTGATTTAGACTGTTGAAATCCAAAGTGTATAAGTGAGTCAGAAAATTTGGAGTACCATTGGCGAGATGCCTGCTTAAGTCCATATAAACTTTTGAGTAGTTTGCATACCTGTCCAGGTTTTCCTTTATCATAACCAGGTGGTTTACACATATAAATTTCCTCTTCTAGTTCCCCATGAAGGAAAGTATTATTAACATCAAATTGTTGTAGATGCCAGCCATGTATGGCAGCAAGTGCAAGGAGACAATGAACTGTGACCATCTTGGCTACAGGGGAAAATGTCTCGTGATAGTCAATCCTTTCCTGTTGTGTATAGCCCTTGGCCGCTAATCTGGCCTTTAACCTTTCAACTGTCCCATCCGAATTAAATTTAGTCTTGTACACATACTTACACTTTATTGGTTCCTTACCAGGTGGCAGATCAGTCAATTCCCAGGTCTGGTTGAGTTCAAGAGCATCCAATTCAGCCTTCATAGCTTCACACCAACCCAGATCCTTAACAGCTTGATTGTATGTTTGAGGATCAGTTTGAGAACAAATAGAAGTCGAAAAGGCAGCATAATTACTAGACAAACGACGATACAATAAGGAATTGGTCAAAGGAAAAACAGTACCTGTATTGGAAAGGGGATGCCTGGCCAATGATTGGTTTGGAGAAGTAAAGCACACTTGTTGACAATGAAAGTCCTGCAAGTATTGTGTGCTCTTCTAACTCTTGTTGACTTGCGGATGGGTGATTGAGCTTGGGTGATATCTTCTGTAGCATGAGGTAAATCAGAAGCAGGAAAGGAAGAAGCTATCTCAGAAGTTTGAACAGGGCTATCAATGGAAACAGGAGTGGAAGAAGGGTCCAAAGGTGTTAAGTTTGAAGACTGAGAAGGGGAGAAATCAGAATTAGTCTGCTTAATAATTGGAGGAAATGATTGAGGAGAAACATGACAAAAGTTATTATTTTCAGTAATTTGTGGTGACAGGTTGGTAAGGTTGATAGTGCGGAAAGGAAAGTTTATTTCATGAAAAACAACATCCCGTGCGATGAAAAAGGTCTCGGTATCAAGGTCAAGCAACTTGTATCCCTTAACACCAAAAGGGTAACCAAGGAAAACAGATTTTCTAGCTCGAGAATCAAATTTTGTCCTGCCTTGTGAAATCGTTAAAGCAAAGCACAATCAACAAAATACTTTCATGTGACTATAGGTCGATTTTCTGTTGAAAATCAATTCAAAAGGGGTTTTATTTGACAGCACAGAAGAGGGGATTCCATTGATGATGTAAGCAACAGTTAATACACATTCATTCCAAAACTTCATAGGAAGTGAAGCTTGGAACCTAAGTGCTCTAGCAATGTTCAAAAGGTGCTGGTGCTTATGTTCAACAATAGCATTTTGCTGCGGTGTTTCCACACAGCCAGTTTGATGTAAAATCCCTTTTTTATTGAAAAAATCTATCATTTAAATTCTACCCCATTATCACTTCTTAAGATCTTGATTTTAACATCAAATTAGTTTTCAACAAGGTTACAAAATGTCTCTGTGCAGTATCGAGTTTTAGATTTTGTTTTCAGTAGATAGACCCAAGTACTTCGAGAAAAATGATCCACAATGGTAAGAAAGTACTTGGATCCATCGTGTGCAGCAACAGAACAAGGCCCCCATATATCACAAGAAATAAGTTCAAAGATTCTAGTGCTTGTGTATGTGCTGGTAGGGAAAGGAAGACGAAGTTGTTTAGCCATGGGAAAAATGCAGCAAGGACTTTCATTTATATCAGTAATTTTAGTACTTACAACAGGATCATTGATCAAAGATATCCTAGACAAAGGTGTATGGCCAAGTCTATAATGCCAAAGATCTATAGATGAACTATCGTCAAGTACAGAAGTGGAAACAAAGGCATTTTTATTTTAAAACTTAGAGAAGTTGTCAACAAGAGCTTCAGGAGACACTTCAATATGTTGCAATTGATAGAGTCCATGCTTCACTTTACCCTTCCCAATCGTTGTCCAAGACGAAAGGTCCTGGAGGAAACAACAATCAGAAAAGAAGATAAGGCAACAAATAAGTGAGTGGGCAAGTCTTTTAGCAGAAATCAAGTTGAATGTAATAGATGGGACACATAAAACATTTTCTAGAACGAGTTTTTCAGTGATATGAACTGTTCCTGTGTGTGTGACGGGTGCTTAATCACCATTTGGCATCTTGACAGAATAAGATACCTCAGAAACAATAGTGGTAAACAGGGAGCTACTGCAGACCATGTGGTCTGTAGCACCTGTGTCGATAATCTAAGGGGTTTCAGCAGAGAATAAAGGTCTTTGAGAAGATGTGGAACAAGAGATAGATATACCAGACATGGTAGGACCCTTTGCTGTATTAGCTGTGGGGTGAAAAGTTGCCTTGGATGGATTGGTGGAAGTAGAAGGTATTATTGGACTGTCCTTTTGCTGCAACAAAGAAAGTAATTGTTGATACTGTCCCTTTGTAAGGCCAACTCTTGAATCAGAATCCTCGTCTTGATCTACAGTGACAACATTAGCAAAAGATCTAGAAGATTTCCCCTTGTTGAAATACTTATGCCCAGGTGGATACCCATGAATTTTATAGCACTTCCCAACTACATGACCACTCATATGGCAATGAATACAGATTGGTGGCTCGGCATTCCCTGCTTGAAAACAGGCTTCTAGATCATGCCCTGGTGCATGACAGTGAGTGCATTAAGGACGATCACGCTTAAAGGGTTGGCTAGGCTTGATGTTTGGTTTAGGAATAGAATAAGACTTCCTACTAGCCAAGGCCATCATGTCAGGTGATTGCAGGTTGCTAAGCATCAGGTGCTGCATTTCTTGTTGCTGTATCATGGACAAAACTTTCCCAATTGAGGGTAAGGGATCAAGAAGCAAAATCTGGTCCCGTGAGTTCGCGTATGAATCGTTCAAACACATTAAGAACTGTATTACACAATCCCTTTGGTATCTGTTAGTGAGAGCAGTTAATTTTTCACAGGTGCAGTCAGGCAAAGGATCGAACACATTGAGCTCATCCCAAATTGACTTCAGCTTTCCATAGTAAACACTTACTGAATCTTGCTCCTGTTGCAGGCCAGCAAGAGCCTTCTTGAGTTGGAAGATCCGTGGGCCATTTTGCTGAGTAAATCGCTCTTTCAGCTCATCCCAGAGCACAGCAGCATCATCCATAAGAGCTATGCTAGACTTGATAGATGGAGAGATGGAGTTCTGCACCCAGGAGGTCAGAAGATCATTGCAACGCTCCCAGGCCTCAAACAAAGGATCATCTGGACTGGTTGGCTTGGTGACAGCACCACTGATGAAGCCTAAATTGTTCTTGGCTCTAAGGGCTCTACAAACTACCCTAGACCAAGTGGTAAAGTTGTCAACTGTAAGAAGTTCAGGAACAAGAGAAATCGATGGATTATCACCATGGTCAAGACGATAAGGATTGGTGACATCGATGAAATTGAAAAATGGGTTCGAAATTGTAGGTGGAGAAGCAGGAGAAGAATCTGTGGAAATAGTTTCTGTGGTCATGGTTGATTTGATTCACTGGCTTTGATACCATAAAAGAATTCAAGCGTGAAGATTAGAGAAGGAGCGAAAGGATATATGAACTTAAGAATTCTCCATTTGAAATTATAAGAATCGAGCGAACTGATTATTCTTAGAAGGAGCAGCCTATATATATACTACCTATACAGCCTATGACCTACTATAAAAGGAATATACACCTCTTTGTACATAACAAACTCAACCAATAGGAAAGCTACACGATACAAAATAGCTCAACAGAGAGCATAAAAAAAAAAAAAAAAAAAAAAAAAAAAAAAAAGAAAAAAAAAAAAAAAAAAAAAAAAAAAAAAAAAAAAAAAAAAAAAAAAAAAAAAAAAAAAAAAAAAAAAAAAAATTAAAGGATATATGAAATTAAGAATTCTCCATTTGAAATTATAAGAATCGAGCGAACTGATTATTCTTAGAAGGAGCAGCCTATATATATACTACCTATACAGCCTATGACCTACTATAAAAGGAATATACACCTCTTTGTACATAACAAACTCAACCAATAGGAAAGCTACACGATACAAAATAGCTCAACAGAGAGCATAAAAAAAAAAAAAAAAAAAAAAGATAATGACAGGAAAGAAAATTCCCAGAATAGCCTCATTATGTAAGCTGAGCCAAAGATCTCTGTAAAACTTCATCAGACTTCAGCTTGATCACTTTCATACGTGAAATTCAATATTATATGTAGATGACGGACACAAAATTGATTTGATTGGAAAATAGTCATGTCGCTAAATTTCAATTTGCAATTTTGACATCTTTTCTTCACATAAATGAGAATAAAGCAAAAGATCATTTTGATCCCCAATTTACCTGTAGTCCCTAACGAAAAAAGAATAATTGTGAACGCTTTATCAAATACTCAGTGCAAACGATTCTCTTCTTTGGCAGTAAGCAGAAAAGGAAAAGGGAGCTGTGCCTGTATAATTTTAAAAGCCACCCTCATGTTACTGGAATAACTTACGGACAAACTGAAAAAATTACAGATAAGTTGTAATTTCTGTGATGCATCACAGAAACATTGCTGCCAGATTAGTCTAACCTTTTATCAGATATATTATGGTCAACATATCGACAAGACAATGGTATATTACCCACAATGTCATATGGAAACGAGGTTTTAAGTCTAAGTGAGTCTTGGCAAGTTCCGTGTCCAAAATCATTAGACATAGTTGTAATCGGGGTTGTATTAATAGGTGTTAACAGTTGGTTTGCGATAACAATAAAAATCATGGAAGTTGAATAAATCTGATGGTCTTCCTAGACATCGCCTTATTCTATTCAATCCACCACCAATTTGATTTCAACGACTTTTGGAGTAATATCAAGAAATATTTCGATTTCAAAATTAGTGTTTGGATGATTTTGATTTGTTCATATTGCTTTACTTGAATTGAAATTTGAAAAACTATTGATGTTGCAAGGTAAAATTAGGATTTGGGAGAAAATTTGGTATAGATTCGCTTAGTCATGGTTAGCACTTGCTTCTGATTTTGGGTTTTTATTAAATGTAGACATGGGCTGAGTTCTTGTTTGGGTTTAATATTTCGGTCCTCAAACTATTCATATGCATCGTTCAGATCCTCTTACTATTGAGATGTGTTGTTTCAGTTCTGTCACTATCGGGATGGTAGTTTAGTTCCTCCAACTATTGGGATCAGTCTCTTTTCCGCATTGAGATGCATCGTTCTGGTCCTCCATATATTGCTATACGTGGTTATGGTCCTCCAACTATTGAAATAGGCCGTTACAATCCTCAAACTGTTGACATATATAGTTTTAACCTGAAAACTATGGAGACGCGTCATTTTGATATGCCAACTATTGGCATAGGCCTTATTTCCTCTACCAATTTGGGTTGTGTCGTTATGGTCCTCTAGTTAACAAGATGAGCCATTTTGGTGGTAATAATTTTTGACATCCATCTTTTTCATCCACCAAATACGGAATTCCATCAAATTAGATCTCCAATTACTTATAAGCATTGTTAAAGACCTCAAACTATTTAGAAGAATTATTCTAATCCTCCAACTATTTAGAAGCATAGATTTAGTCCTCAATCTATTGAGAAGCTTCGTTTTGATCCACCAACCATAACTAAACTACACTTTGGTCCTCCAACTATATAGAAGTGTCGTTTTCATCCTTGAACTAATTATAAGCCTTCTTTTTGTCCTCCATCTATTTAGAATGGGCTTTCTTGGTACTGTCTATTTTGAAGCATCCTTTTGGTCATCAAATTAATACGAGGAATTCTTTTAGTCCTTCAACTATTGTAAAGTATCGTAATAGTCTCCAACTAGATAGAAGCATCAATTTGACCATCCAACTATTCAGTTGCACATCTATGGTCCTTCGACTATTATGAAACCTCGTTTTGGTCATCCAACAAAGATGAGACGTTTATAGTCCTCCATCTATTTACAAGCTTCATTTTTATCCTCCAACTAATGAGAGGCATTCTTGTAATCCTCCTACTTTTAAGGGTCATTTTGGTCCTCCAACTATTTAGAAGTGTCATTTTTTTCCACAAACTATTAAGGGACGTGGTTTCGGTCCCCTATATAAGGAGATATTTTGCTTTGTTCCTCAAACTAATTATATGCATATCCATAGTCCTCCAACTACTTAGTAGCATCGTGTATGTCCACTAACCACTGGAATATGTTGTTTTGGTCCCCAACTACTTAAAAGCTCGATTTGATCCTCCAACTATTACATTATGTTACTTTGGTCCTTTAACTATTATGGACTTTCATTTTGATCTTCCAACTACAAAGAGTTGTTCTTTTCATCCTCCAACTATTTAGAAGCATCATTTTCGTCTTCTAACTATCCAACTAAATGCAAGTGTTAGGTCCTCTAACCATTCAGATATGTTTTTTTAGTTGTCCAGCTTTATAGAAGCTTCGTTTTGGTCTTCCAAGTTCTGAGATACACATGTTTTATCCTCCAAATATTTAGAAGAATTATTTAGGTGTACCAAATCTGATGATGTGTATTTATAGTCCTAAACTATTTAGAAGCTTTTTCTGTCTTCCGACTACTAAAATGCATTGTACGGTCCCCCAACTATGGAAATACTAGCTTAGTTCCTCAAACTACTTAGAAGCGTCATTTTAGTCCTCCAATTAATGATATGCATATCTTTTTGTCCTCGAACTACTTAGAAGCATTCTTTTGGTCCTTCAATTTCTCAAAGCATCATTTTGTTCCTCCAACTATGGTTACACATAGCTTTGGTGCTCCAACTATTTAGAAGAACTAACAGAGCACTCCCAACTAATTAAAAGAGTTGTTTTATCCTCCAACTCTTGAGTTTCATTATTTTGGTTTTCCAACCACATGGAAGCATTATTTTAGTCCTCAAACTATTGGGATCCATTGCTCCCCAACTATTTAGAAGTATTCATTTGGTCATCCAACTATTTAGACACGTTCTTTTAGTCCTCAAACTGTTTAGGAGTGTCAATTTAGTCCTCCAACTAGTCAGATACAATGCTAAGGTCCTCCAACTATTTGGAAGCATCCTTTTGGTCCTCTAACTACTGAGATGCGTATGTTTAGTCCAACTATTTAGAAGCATTGTTTTGATCCTCAAACTCTAACTATTTATTTCCATCGTTTTGACACTCCATCTACTTTTATGCATTGCTCTGATCCTCCATCTACTTTGAGGCATAGTTTGTTCATCTATCTACTTTGAGGCGTTGTTTTGGCCCTCGAATTATTGAGATAAGTTTTTTTTTGTCCTCCACCGATTATAACACATGGCTTCATCCTATATCTTATTTGAATAATTGCATGGAATGAGATCAATAGCCATCTTCTGTGGGTTACTATCAACAATGGTTGGTAACAATGATGTATTTCAGTATACATAATTAGCGCCTGTTTGGCTCCACTATTTGGATGATTAAAATTAATTTATTGTCATTAGTGGGTCCCACGTTTGCATTTGAGTGTAATGGAAGTCAACAATCCCGGCGGAGAGCAATCCAATAATGGCTTAAAATTCGGATGAAAATTACCACAAAACAGGCACTTAGACAAAAATGGTTGGACAAAGACAGAGAAAATGTATTGTAACACCATTATAAGATCAGGTGCAATGCACATGTTTGATATACTAGTGATGACCCCAAATCTATAGAACCCCAAACTCTAACCCTGACCCCCGAATTAATAAACCCCGAACTTGACATCCCCCAAAACCACCAAATCAAGGTCGGGCCTAATAGGTCGGGGTAAGGCAACTCTTCAGTCCTTCTTGACGAACTATGGGAACACAAATTCTATCAACTTGCAATTCTTACCTAGCTAGATTCCCTTTTCGACTCAAACAATGGTTGAATACTTGGAATAAAACACTGTCTCCTTACCCTACAAGGACAAGGATCACACAAGGCTAAGTCCTTCTAGGACTCTATCTCCAATACCTATAAATACATAACCCGGGCTCATTCTTGATGTACGTTTTTCATTATTTCTAGTTTATAGCCTCACGCACTAATTTTCCTATCCAACTTAAGCATCGGAGGGGTGACGAGCACACACCTCGTTGCCTTTGTTGCAGGTATTCGAAGGTCGTTCATGTTCATCAAAGTTCGGAGTTCTATCATCAAGTTCGAGATCTTTCAGTTACTATTTTTTGGTAGCATCATTGGCGTCGTCTGTGGGAATTGCTACCAAAAGCCATGGTCAATACACGTTCATGTCTTTCTCCAGCAAGCTCATTAGTCCCGAATAACACTCTTCCTCCTTAGAAACGCCATGTCCCTCAAGAAGAATCGTTGGAGATGCCAGCACCTCCTCAAGCTATTGTTTTCGTCGGAGCTTTTGAGGAACTTCGTTAGCAGGTGGAGCTGCATTAACCCAATTGTTAAGCCAGAGAAGTTTGCACCTGTCGCATATCCCAACCCCCGAAGGTGGTTTTATGGTAGACGCCTGAGCTCGAGTCCATCGTACAGCTGATAATGACGCCGCGGTTGGAACTTCAGGAGCATCGCAAGTGGCTTCAGGTTCAAGGTCTGTTACAATGGACTTTGCTGAATTTGCTAGAATTATTCAAGAAGGGATAGCAGCGAGTATGCAACAAAATACTCGAGCAGCAACATGGTTCACCCCCAATACGCCGTTCACTCCAGAAGTCCTCTCGCATCCCCTCCCCGACGGTTCAAATATCATTGGATAAAGGAGTACGAAGGGACAACCGACCCCATCAATCATCTCAATGTGTACACGAATATCATGAACTTACATGTTGCACCTGATGCAGTAATGTGTAAGGCCTTCCCTCAGACACTTACAAATGCAGCTAGAGATTGGGGGGAGATTCTAGTACTGGGCGTAAACAATATGCCAGGTAACCTCCAATCATCTCGAAATCAGATCTTGGTTCTACGGAAGACATCACTTTTGGAACAGGAGACTTGGAAGGCATAGCATTCCCTCATGATGATGCTCTGGTCATATTGGCCATCATTGCTAACTTTGAAGTTAAGAAAATTTTGGTAGACAACGGAATTACGGCTAATGTGCTGTCTCATGAAGCCTTTGTTCAAATGGGGATCTCATCGAAATAGCTCAAGCCAGCAAAAAAACCTCTCCAAGGGTTCGGAGGTGCTGTCATCACCCCGAAAGGTATCGTCGGGTTGCCCTTAACATTGGGGACAGAAGGTAAACAGGTGATGCAGATCACCACTTTTGAAGTTGTCCAAACTCCGATGGCCTACAACGCCATACTGGGGAGACCACTGTTCAACAGAATTCGAGCTATTGTCTCAACTTTCCACCTGGCTATGAAGTTTCCTACGAATAATGGAATCGGGGTAGTTCGACACAACCAAACAGTGGCACGACAGTGTTACGTGACTAGCATTCGAAAAATTAAGAACGACGTCATGTAAGTTACACAGCTCGAGCTCGAGCACGAAAATCACGGGAGACTGGCTCCGGTGGAAGGATTGGAGAAAGTCGAGCTCGAGCCTGGCAGGAGAGTGACAATCGGTCAGGGGCTAGATACAGCAGTTATATCTGAACTACTAAGTTGTCTCTCCCACAACATTGATGTATTCGCTTTGAATGTTGAGGACATGCCTGGAATTGATCCAAAGGTAGCAGTACATAGACTCAACGTAAATCCAGAAACAAACAAAGGAATAGGCAATTTGCACCAGAAAGACGAGAAATCATAAAGGAGATTGCTAAACTTTTTAACCCACAGTTCATTCGAGAGGTACGATATCCCGATTGGCTTGCTAACGTAGTTCTTGTCAAGAAAACTAATGGGAAGTGGCGAGTCTGCATTGACTTCACAGATCTGAATAAAGCATGTCCCAAAGACAGTTATCCTCTACCTCGATTGACAATTCGGTAGACAGCACGTCAGGTCATATGCTGTACAGCTTCTTGGATGCTTTTTCGGGGTATCACCAAATTTTCATGGCGGAAGAAGATCAAGAGAAGACCTCATTCATGGTAGACTCAGCCATCTATTGCTACAGGGTCATGCCCTTTGGATTGAAGAATGCTGAAGCAACATATCAAAGGTTGGTAAACAAGATCTTCGTCGAGTTAATTGGGAAAACAGTCGAAGCATATATGGATGATATGGTGGTTAAGAGCAAACAGCTGAATGGTCATGTCTCTGACCTAGAAGAAGTGTTTGCTACGTTACAGAGGTACAACATGAAGCTCAACCCTACAAAGTATGCATTTGGGGTGGCATCTTGAAAGCTCTTGGGTTTTATGATCATGCACAGAGGAATAGAGGCAAATCTTGATAAAATCCAAGCTCTGATAAGTATGGAGGCTCCTAAGTGCAAAATGGACATTTAAAAGTTGACAGGTCGCGTAGTAGCACTGAACATGTTTGTTTCCCGGGCAGCGGACAGGTGCTTCACCTTTTTCAAACTATTTAGGGAAAATAAAGGCTTTGACTGGAACGAGGAATGCAACTTAGCTTTTCAAGAGCTCAAGCAGACATTATCCACGCCTCCAGTCCTTACTAAACCCGAACCCGGTGACACGCTGCTATTGTATTTGGCCATTTCTGATAATGCAGAAAGCAGAGTCTTGGTAAAGGAAAAAGGAAGAGTTCAGCAACTTGTCTATTATGTAAGTAAAGTGCTCCTTGATGTAGAAACACGATACACGCTTGCAGAACAGCTCACCCTCGCTTTGGTAATAGCTGCCAGAAAATTACGGCCGTACTTTCAGTCACATCCAATTGTTGTGCTCACTAACCAACCTCTTAGACACATACTTCAGAAGTCGGACATCTCAGGAAGACTGTTCAAATGGGCAATTGAACTTGGCAAATTTGACATATATTTCAAGCCACGACTTGTAATCAAGGCTCAAGCTTTGGCTGACTTCATAGCAGAACTCACTCCGAGATCCTCAAAAACACAGGCTAAGGACCCGAGCATGACCTTGAAAATATGGGAGATCTTTGTTGATGGAGCATCCAATAGCTCGGGCTCGGGGGCCGGCATCATTATCACAAGTCTGGACAAGACTATGGAAATACAGTGCACTCTCAGATTTGAATTCGAGGCCACCAATAACGAAGCAGAGTATGAACCCATTATCATTGCCCTGGAACTTGTGAAAAATCTTGAGTTGGAGCATGTCAAATTTTTCAGTGACTTACAACTAGTGGTCGGGCAAATCGAGGGGTCTTTCGAAAGAAAGGTCGAGAAGATGAGCTTATACTGTTTGAAAGCACAGGACCTCCATAGACAGTTCGTAAGTTGTGAAATTTTGAAGGCAAGAGCCAATAATGCCATAGTTGATGCATTATCCAGACTCGTCTTCATGAGTGTGGACGGGCTTGATAGAACCGTGCACATCAAGATGGTTGCAGAACCCAGCATAGCTCAAAGGCTAAGTGTCATGGACATCGACCACGAGCCCTCCTGGATGGATCCAATAGTTGATTACATAAGTAATGGCAACCTGCCTGCAGACCCTCGGCTTGCCAGAAGCATTCGATATAGAGCTGCTAGATATTGTATAATCGAAGGAGTCCTGTTCCGCAGAAGTTTCACACTCCCCTATCTAAGATGTCTCAAACCCTCCGAGTCTCTTCAAGCCATGACTGAAGTTCATGAAGGCATTTGTGGAAATCACCAGGGAGCCCTAGCTCTTGCATATAAGTTGATAAGGTATGGGTACTACTAGCCAAGTTTGAAGAAAGATGCTACAGATTATGTTTGGAAGTGCGACAAGTGCCAAAAGTTTGGCAACATCATACATGCTCCTGCTGAGGAGCTAACTTCCATTCGTTACTAAGCTCCCTTCGAACAATGGGGAGTCAACATTCTTGGGCCGTTTCCTTTGGCCAAAGGACAATTAAAGTTTGTAACTGTGGCGGTAGAGTATTTCACAAAGTAGGTAGAGGCAGAACCACCGGCAACAATTTCGGAGCCAAAGTTTAGATCATTCATATGGAAGTCTGTCATATGCAGATTAGGAATACCGAAAGTCCTCATCATGGATAACGGAATGTAATTTGATAATCCACGGCTCATGAGCTTTTGTACTGACCATGAGATTGATCATCGCTTGACCTCGGTGTCACACCCACAAAGTAATGAGCTTGCCAAAGTGACTAATCGGATCATATTGCAGGACCTTCGAACAAGAATAGGGGATGCCAAAGGCGACTGGCCTAATGACCTGTCTTCTATACTATGGGCATACAGAACTTTGCACAAGATAGCAACTGGGGAGACACCTTTCATGCTTGCCTTTGGACTTGAGGCTGCCATTTCAATCGAGGTCAACCACCCTACAATAAGGAAGCTCGAGATGAATAGTGAGAGACAAACTACTAAACACCTTGACTTGCTTGAAGAAGTAAGGGAGCAAGCCTCACTTAGAGCTACAAATTATTAGAACAAAACGGCGAGGCACTTCAACAACAACGTCCAGACAAGAAGATTTAGAATTGGTGATCTTGTCCTTAGAAAAGCAGAAGATGCCGGACACCCACCAGGGAAACTCGAACCAACATGGGAAGGACCCTTCGAGGTCATAAGAAAATTAAATGGTGGTGCTTATAGCCTCAGGGACACATCAGGGAAGTCACTCTCAAGGCCCTGGAACGCCGACAATCATAAAATTTATTACAAATAACTAGCTATAGCTATAATTTTAAGGCTTGCATGCCCGCTTTATCTTTGCTTTATTTTGTTTTTTACTTTTTGGGCCCTAACACCCTAAACAGTTCATGCTCCAATAAGCTCGGGTATCAATGCCCTTGAGCCTTTTTCATAATACGCGAGTTTTTCTTTACTGTGTTGCCTCCCTATTTACAAAATTAGCATAAGGTCGTGCTCCGCGCATGCAGCTAATACCTTAGCAAAATTAGCATAAGGCCGTGCTCCGCACATGCAGCTAATACCTTTACAAAATTAGCATAAGACCGTCCTCCGTGCATACAGCTAATATCTTTACAAAATTAGCGTAAGGCCTTGCTCCGCGCATGTAGCTAACACTCGATCAATAGAATCAAACACACGCTGCCAAGGCCTCAAATGGCAACAGGTCGGGATCAACGTACCCCGACCTCTCCTATCCCAGAATGTCCCCATAACCAAAAATGTCAAGATCGAGTTCGGGGGTATGAAATGGTCTTCCTCATACCAAACCATACTCGATCTTATCCACAAAGGAAAGCAGTTGTTACAAGAGATAAGCCCGAGCTTATCCTTTATATCCTCAGTGACCCAATGGTCACTTCTCGACATAGGAAATTGAGAAGTGGGTTTACAATACACGACATTAATACTCGAACTCGTTGACCCCAAACACGACGCTTCTACTTGAAGTCTGAAAATACATCTTCGAGCTTAGGAATCGGAGTCCAATGTTCAATTTAAAGGATCAATTTGATTCATAGTCTCGACGATCAGTATAGTTAAGGCATACAAATATTCTCGAGCTATCTCACACCCGGGCTGAGTACGTTAGCATTCGAGCTAATTAAGTTGTGAAAACCTATACTAATGATCAATTTTTTGTCACCATGCGTGATCATAACATCCACACACGAACTTCAAATTCATGCGCGATCCTATAATGAAGGCAAGTCGCATAAACAAGCTGCAAGACCCAAATCAGGCAATAAACATCAATTTTCAAAAACAAAGGTAAAAAGCCCAGGTCGGGCAATGTACTTGTACAATTTTCTCTAAAAACAAAAATTCAAGGACAAAAGCCTAATCAAGCTCGATGGTGTCAGCGCCACCCTAATCGGGGGTCCCTTCATCATCATCATCATCACCGTCACTCCCATCCTCGACCTCTGAGGCAGATAGTTTGAGCTCGTTCACCGTCCTTAGCTCTTCCACCACCGACTTTAGGTCGTCAAGAAGCTTCTTCCTCAAAAGAGAGCGTGCAAGCTACAGCCCGTAGTGATACGACCCCGATCCATATTGCCCAAGAAGAGTCCCAAACTCGTCAGACTTCTTAAAATCTTCGATTGCTTGAGTACGAGCCTCTTCTCGGGCTCTCACCAATTCCTCCTCGAAGCTTTTTTTAGCTTACAAGAGCTCGAGTTTGGCCTCTTCGGCTTCATCTCTAGCCACCCCGATCTCGCCTCGAGCTTTACGAAGGTCGGACCTCGCATCGTCACGCTCCTTCTCAACCTCGACAGTCCACCTTTTCGCTTGATCTCTTTCTCTCTCGAGCCCTTCCAGTTGACTAGAGATGTTTAGGCCATTCAAGGTGAGACCTCTTACCACACTTAACGTCTACACAAAAATAATAAGAAAGCTCGACGTTAGTACAATCAACGAAACATAAAAATAAAACATCATCAGGATCGATATCTTACCCTCAAATTCAAGACTTCCAACGTCTTGACACCTTCATGAATGTTGACCTCCTTCTCAAATCATTCAACAAGGTCCTTCACCAGGGCACACTCAGAGTACTCCTCGAGAGTGCTATCAGAAAGTGGTGAAAAGCCCGAATCGGCAACGCCCTGGCAACCCCGAGCTCAATCTTGCGATATAGGTGTTTGCTGTGGAGGGTAGTCGGGCCCCTCGATGTCGAGGTCTACCCTTTTGGCAAGACCTGAGGCTCAGGTGTCGGGGTCTTTCCAGAAACGACCTCCCTGGCCCGTTTCTTACCCTTGGATTAGGCCGGGGCCTTAGGCTTGGGACCCTTGGCCTTATGATGGACATTGGCTAGCAGCTTTGATGGGTCAAAAGACAGCTCCAAATCTGCAAGAATAACAAACAATTAAGCTCGACCTAAATCTCACAAACAACACGTGAAAAATAACAAGGGATGAAGACCATACCCTCGAGGCCTTTGACGTTTGCCAGATCGAGGGTATCATCCTCGAGGAGATAATCAATCTTTTCTGCCAGAGGGTCATGATTCACTAATCTCAACCTATCCCGTTCTAGAACTTCAAAGTAAGCCTGACCCTCATTAAACATATCTTTGGCCGAAACTTTCCACTTCGGGCTAAAAGGGTGATCGAGATCCTGATGTTTGACAGAAAAGAACCGCTCTTTCCAGCCTCGGAGAGAGCTCGGGGACTCTGGTGTCCTAAACCACCCTTTTGTAGACAAATATACAAAATAGTTATACCCCGACGAGAATTTCATGTCAAAAACCATCTTCAATAGGTCTATCCTAGGTTCGATCTCCAAGCACCTACAGAGGATAAAGAAATGCACTAGAAGCCTCCATCCGTTCGGGGCTAACTGACCCAGGCACAAATAGAAAGAAGTCAAGAAAATGGATAAAGAAGGGGTGAAGAGGCCATCTAAGCCCGCCCTTAAGGGCATCTCTAAAAAAAGTCATCTCTCCCTCTCGAGCTTCGATTACGATTTCGGTTGGCTCGGGGGTTCGAACATCACACAGGGGCATAACCCCGAATTCCCTAACTATCTTAATGATCACATGTTCTTTTTATTTAGTAGGGTTCGTTGGATAGGTCAATACTGCCTCACCTTGAGAACGCAAACTCACAGGTATGGCCATGGGAATTATAGAAGTACCTACGGTTTTGGGGTTCTCATCGTTGTTTGAACTCCTAGAGGGTTTGCTACTATCATTAGAACTCGATTCTTTACTGCTACTACTGCTACTCGACATTATGATTTCAAATAATTAACAACTTAAAGATGCGATCTCTTACCTTTTTGGAGGGCGCTCACAGGCTCACTATCCCCGAGCTCGAGCTTTCTTTTACTGGAGAGTGAAAAGTGAAAGTGAAATGTGGGGACTATTTATAGGAGTCTTTGGAATGTCAACGGTCTATTAATCCTGGCCCTTAAATGAAGACACGTGGCGGCCATCTAAGCTCGTGATCTGACATTGCATGTGGCAGTCATCTAAGGTCGTTCTTCGACATCCCATCAAACTCCTGACACGTGGAAAGACGTCTGGACACTTATGCCTCTACATCTTCGCTCATAGATCATACTTGGATGGAGATCTACGACCTCGATGCACGGGGGCTTGTGATGACCCCAAATCTATAGAACCCCAAACTCTAACCATAACCCCCGAACTAATAAACCCCGAACTTGACATCCCCCAAAACCACCAATCAAGGTTGGGCCTAACAGGTCGGGGTAAGGCAACTCTTCAGTCCTTCTTGACGACCTATGGGAACACAAATTCTACCCAACTTGCAATTCTTACCTAGCTAGATTCCCTTTTCGACTCAAACAATGGTTGAATACTTGGAATAAAACATTGTCTCCTTACCTACAAGGACAAGGATCACACATGGCTAAGTCTTTCCAGGACTCTATCTCCAACATCTATAAATACATAACCTGGGCACATTCTTGAGGTACGTTTTTCATTATTTTCAGTTTATAGCCTCGCGCACTAAATTCCCTATCTGACTTAAGTATCGGAGGGACGACGAACACACACCTCGTTGCTTTTGTTGCAGGTTTTCGAAGGCCGTTCGTGTTCATCAAAGTTCGAAGTTTTATCATCAAGTTCAAGATCTTTCAAGTACTATTTATTGGTAGCATCAACTAGTATTACCAAATTACACTCAGGATATGTTTGATTGCAAGTATGGAAAGAAAAATAAGTTCTAGGAAATTGAATTGTCTAATACTTATTTACATGAAAATTGTCAATTAAATGTGTTTGATTGACTTAATTTTTAACCTAAAAAATGTTGTACTAGTCTATAA